AACTTCTTGGAAGCAGGGGTGGGGGAGTCTGTGCTTTGTTTTCTCTTTCTCTTTCTCTTTCTCTTTCTCTTTCTCTTTCTCTTTCTCTTTCTCTTTCTCTTTCTCTTTCTCTTTCTCTCCTCCTTCTCCTTCTGATTCTCCTTCTTCTTTGACTCTTTCTGTTTACCTGGGTGGACATTTTTTTGATTTTTAAAAAAATATATATATATTTTATTGATTTTTTACTGAGAGGAAGAGAGAGGGATAGAGCGTTAGAAACATCAATGAGAGAGAATCATCAATCAGCTGCCTCTTGCACACCCCCCTACTGGGGATGTGCCCGCAACCAAAGTACATGCCTTTGACCGGAATCGAACCTGGGACCTTTCAGTCCGCAGGCCGCTGCTCTATCCACTGAACCAAACCAGTTTTGGCGATTTTTTTTTTTTTTTTTTACAAAGCAAATCAGAATATCAGAGAGTGGGATTCAGGTATCAGAAATGTCAGAAATGTCCTAAAGCCCCTTGGGTGGTGCTGATGCCTAAGGGGGCTGGGACCATTGCTCTAGAAACACGGGCACCGGTAGGCTGGGAGGGAAAGAACCATCCATTAACACCTGGTACAGCACCTGCCTCACAAGGCAGAAGCCCAGGCACAGAAAGGCTGAGAACCTTGCTGTGGGTCACACAGTTAGTAATTCTCACTGTGAGCATGGGATGGATCCCAAAGCCCACGTTCTCCTTCAGTGTGCTTGCGACGCTCCTGCTCCAGAGCGGCACACTTTATTTGTCCTTTCCTCGTCCCTCTCAGACAGTGACTGTTGAATCTGCCTTCTCTTTGGACGTTTATGATTCCCACGGCACCCCCACCTTTGCAGAAAGATCAGTTCTGCAGGAGTGGACTGGGATTGCATCAGCTTAAACACCTGCCCATTGCAGGGGTGGTTACAAAGATGAAGAACAGAGGATGTAGATGACTGTTTGACTAAGCTTCAAAGAAGTTAAGAAAATTCACATCATAAGTGACAAGGAAAAAGGAAGGATATTAGTCCCCCTTGGCTGAGCCATTATTTGTGAGCTGATGCAACATACCTGGTTCATTTCTTCATCCTTCAAGATTCAGTGGAGGCAGACATCTTCAAAGAGATGTTCCTGGGTCTCTTCAGCAGAATGAGTTAGGAGTCCTTCCTCCCGAATTCCTCCCGAATTCCCCACACGCTGGGCTCACCTCAGCACAGCACTCAGCACAGTACACTGCTTTCCAAAGCGTCTGTCTGACTCCCCTCTCTCCAGACTCGGACTCCCTGGGTAAAAAGGAACAGACCCTTCAATTAAATCCTTAACATCTAGCACAGTTTCCGGCCCAGAGGATATTCAGTAAGGATATTAAGTACTTCTGAACGAATATCAGTATTTTATTATTATAAACAATGATGAAAGATATTAAGGGGTGGTAGCCTAAATTTTTATAAATCAGAAAAATGAGTCAGAGTTTGGATGAAGGTTCGCTGACTCAAGCTGGAAAGTCATTGACTATTTTTAGCTCTTTTAACAGCTGGGAGTCCAGCCTAACCTGGTGTTTAATTTCCAGGATTTGGCGGGGGCGGGGGCGGGAGAGGGGGACAGGGGGACCAGAACAACTGATAGACTCTAAAACTGATTTAATCACTGGCTCTAATCTGTCACTTGATGCATTCATGGTCACTACCACCAAAATCCATGAAAAAAAGCCCCATGCCTGCTGTTCTATGCACCAATTTTAATGGCCATGATTATGAATCAAGAGTTTATTGAACACCACAAAAGAAACACTGGTGCATTTTTACAAGTGCCAGTAAATCACGCGTGTTCCTCCTCTCAAGCAAAGATTTAAGAGCCCATTTAAAAAAAAAAAAAAAAGAGTCCATTCATGTTTATTAAGTCTGTACTTTGACAGTAACTTGGGCATGGATAAACTAGAACCTACTGGCTAGGTCATTATTTATTCCATGAAGTTTTTGAGCTTTGAATTTGCATAAAGCTCTTCGGTAGGGAATATGGGGGGGCTCGGTAATGGACTGTCACTTCATCCTGACAGATTTTTACCATCTATTTTAAGAAAGAATGAACAACAATTAAAAAAAAAAAAAAGGCATCCCTAGGCCAAATGTCAGTCAATAGTCCATTTCACTTGCCGATGAGGCTGGTGTAGACGTGGAGAAAAGGAGAGCTCTGACAGCTGAAGGCCTGCATGGGAGAGACACCGGCGGGGACCTTCCCCAGGGCCCTGCTTCCTACTCACTCTGCCAGGCCAGGCGTGGGCCAGACCTACAAGCTTCTAGTCTTTTCTTGAAAGTAGGATTGCTTCCCCAACCTACAGACGTGGCCTATGGGTCTTGGGATTAGAAAATGCATACACTGGGGCTCAGTTATTTGCAAGTCCCATATTTGTGACTCTACCTCCTCACCGGGTATTTATTCATGACCCCAAATCCAGACAGAACGTCATGGTCATTCCCAGACGTGGGCAGAGCCCTGAAAACTCTGATCAGACAGACGCATGCCCTCCCAGCAGAGGTCAAACAAGGCGAACCGCTACCTTCTTATTTCAGGTCTCACACTGTGACGTGTCCTACAAATACACCATTTTTGTGCCTTTGGGGTGTGTGTGTGTGTGTGTGTGTGTGGTATTTAAAATGGCCCGGAAAACAGTGCTGAAGTGCTTTCTAGTGTCCCAGGAACAAAATACCTAAGTTTAAAAAGCTCAATCAATGTCATGCAGTATGAGTTACCATGCTGTTGGCTCTGAGCTCAATGTTAATGAGTCAACCCCATGGCCGGCAAACTGCGGCTCTCGAGCCCCATGCGGCTTTGGCCCCTTGAGTGTGGCTCTTCCACAAAATACCGTGGCCTGGGCGAGTCTATTTTGAAGAAGTGGTGTTAGAAGAAGTTTAAGTTTAAAAAACTTGGCTCTCAAAAGAAATTTTAATCGCCGTACTGTTGATATTTGGCTCTGTGGACTAATGAGTTTGCTGACCACTGAGTTAACCAACAATATATGTTAAGATATCTTTAAACAGAAGCACACGTAAAACAAGGATATATATCGGGTCTAGTAATACTTAATGTCGTTTTTAAACATTCGTTTAAAATCTTGCTTGGCATTGACTTGTATTGACATAACCTTCAAACACGTGGTATCTACAGAACATGTGAAGTGCAATTAACAAGTTTTGCTTGAAAAAGTTTGTGTTTGGTTTGGTTTTTGTTGCAAAACTAGGGCTAAGAAGATGGCGGATGAAGAGCATATTCGGCACTGCATGCTTTACGAGTTCCAATTAGGAAGAAAAGCAAGTGAGGCTGCCAAAAACATCTGTAGTGCTCTTGGTCAAGATGCAGTTAGCGCCAGAAAATGCCAGCGTTGGTTTGAGAAATTTCGCGAGGGAAATTTTTCGTTAGATGACAAGAGTGGTCGAGGCCGTGAGTCCAATTTTGATCAGGAAGCTCTTCAAGCTCTTTTGGTGCAAAATCCTCAAATTACCCAACAAGAGCTTGCGACAACTTTAAATTGTTCACAAAAAACAATTTCCAATCAATTGCGTTCACTTGGCAAAGTCCAAAAGTTTGGAAAATGGGTTCCTCATGAGTTGACCGACGACAACCGTAATCAAAGAGTCACAATTTGCAGTTCGCTCCTCTCTCGTCAAAACCGTTTGCCGTTTTTAGAGCAAATTGTTACCGGAGATGAAAAATCGGTGCTGTATGTTAATTTGAAAAGGCGGCCTCAATGGTTGGACAAAAATGAGGCTCCACAGCCCACGCCAAAACCTGACTTGCATGCGAAAAAAGTGATGTTGTGTGTTTGGTGGAATTTTAAAGGAATTCTTCATTATGAACTTTTACCATCTAACCAAACCATTACAAGTGCAGTGTATAGTGCCCAATTGGAAAGGTTAGCCCAAGCTTTAAGAGAAAAAGAATCCGCGCTGATTAATCGGAAGGGCGTAATTCTTCACCACGATAACGCACGACCGCATACTGCAAGAATCACTGTTGAAAAACTGCGCCAGTTGGAATGGGAAGTTCTCCCTCAACCTGCATATTCTCCTGATATTGCCCCTTCCGATTACCATTTGTTTCGTTCTTTGCAAAACTTTCTTCTTGGAAAAAAATTTAATAATGAAGAATGCTTCAAAAATGCATTGACCTAATTTTTTGCATCAAAATCACAAGAATTTTAGAACAGAGGGATTAAAATGCTTCCTGAGCGTTGGGCACAAGTAGTAGAAAACAACGGCAACTATATTGTTGATTAAATTTTGTTGTATTGTTTAAATAAATTCGATTTAAAAAAGGTATTAGAAAACGACATTAATTATTACTAGACCTAATAGATTGGCCAGCTGACAAAAACGTTGGGTCCCGGGGGTAACAGACATCATAGGGCATTTCACCAGGAGCAATAATCGTTCAGCTATGAATTTGCATAAAGCTCTTCGGTAGGGAATATGGGGCTCAGAATGGAACTGTCATACTGAGTTCCCCCTCCCCTCCCCTCCCCTCCCCTCCCCTCCCCTCCCCTCCCCTCCCGTCCCCTCCCCTCCCCTCCCCTCCCCTCCCCTCCCGTCCCCTCCCCTCCCCTCCCGTCCCCTCCCCTCCCCTCCCCTCCCCTCTCCTCCCCTCCTCTCCTCTCCTCACCTCTCCTCTCCCATGGTATTCGCCTTGGCACAACCCAGGTCAGGGCCCGCCTGAGCCAGGTAGGCATTTCTCTGGCCTGAGCACGGCCCCAAGCCTGGAGGGAGCGCCTTCAGCCCAGCGCCCCGCGTGGCCGGCAGGGGGCGCCCTCCGCCCAGCGCCCCGCGTGGCCGGCAGGGGGCGCCCCGGGCGCGCGGAGCCAGGTGCACTGGAAGGGGCGGAGGAGAGGGGAGGCGGCCGGCGGCGGCTGCCCAGGCTCCTCTCCCCGCCGCACGCGCAGCTCGCGCCCCGGTGCAGAGAGAAGGCGCCCTCGGCCGCGCCGGATCCCTGCGAGCCGGTCCCGCCGCCATGGAGGCGCCGGCACGAGGTGAGTGGTCCGGTAGCCCATCGCCCCGCGGGGCTGCCCAACTTCCCGGGCCGGCGGGCCGGGTCCGCGGGGTGCCTGCGCCCCAAACTCGGGGTGTGCGGGGCCGCGGCCCGAGGCCGGCGCTCCGTGGAGAGGGACGGTCTCGCCCCCTCCCCCGCCGGTCGTCCGGCTTCCCGAACCCCCCGAGCTCCCCGCGCACCTGCTGTGCTGGGTCAGGCAGCCTCCTGCCCCCCCTTTCCCGCGGGGCGCGGGGCGCGGGTTCCTCGCCTCGGGCTCGCGTCCTGCGCGCGGCTCCCGATCCGGGCTGAGCGGCGGCTCCGCGGGGACCCCGTCTCCCCCCGGGCACGCCGGCCTTCGGGGACCGGCCTTCCCCCGGGGGGGGGGCGGGGGAGAGCGCTGCCCGCCCGCGGATCTGCAGCCGGACCGACCGACCGACCGACCGGCACGTGTGCCCCGGGCTCCCGCGGTCCGGGAGCTCCCTCCGCCCCCCGGCCGCCCAGCGCCCCGTCCTGATGTCTCGGGGTCACGCTCGGACCAGGGCTCAGGAAGCCCGATGGACTCCTGCCGGGACGGGAGTAGACGGGCTGGAGAGGGGCAGAGGTGGAGGGTGAGGGGCTGGGGGTCCGTCTACCTGGGGAGCAGCGCCTGGGAGGGACGGGGGGGGGGGGGGGAGGAGGTCAGCTTTCTTCAGCCTTTAAAACAACCACCACACCTGCCTTCTACACTACAGAGTAGGGGATCCAGTGATGCATGGATGGATGGATGGATGGATGGATGGATGGATGGATGGATAGATAGATACTACAGTGTAGGGAATCCAGTGATGGCTAGATAGATAGATAGATAGACAGACAGATAGACACGACAGTATAAGGAATCCAGTGGTGGCTTTTAAGACATATAGATAGGTAGACAGACAGGCAGACAGACAGACAGACACCTCAGTGTAGGGAATCCAGTGATGGCTTTTAAGAAAGATAGAGAGACAGACAGATAGAGACAGAGAGACACTACAGTGTAGGTGATCCAATGATGACTTTTAAGATAGGTAGGTAGGTAGGTAGGTAGATAGATAGATAGATAGATAGATACTACAGTGTAGATGATAGATGATAGATAGATAGATAGATAGATAGATAGATAGATAGATAGATGATAGGAGGTTCATGACCCTGTGGCTCGCCCTCTAGGGGCAGAAGTGTCCTGAACGAGAGCAGGTTGGCAGCCCTGGGGCCAGGAGCCACCCCAGGGGTTTGCTGCCAGGAGCCACCCCAGGGGTTTGCTGCCAGGACTACCCTGGTCTGAACAGGGCGAACCATTCTTGTTTGTCCCGTTAGCCAAGTTCCTGTCCATAAAACTGCCCATTATCCAAATAAGAGAGGAGAATTACCCCCCTTCCCCCCCTCTGCCTGAGACTGGGCAAATTCCAAAGCAGAGGTCAGCTCCGAGGGAGGCCTTCCCTTCTGAACGGCAGCAGGTGGCAGGGAGCCACCCCGGAGCTTTCCAGCCTGCTTTGCAGCTGGGGGCCATTTGGTGAGTTTTAAATCCTGGTCCTGGCGAGCCCCAGACCCACCGAGCCGGCCGTGGGTATGTTTGAAAGCGTTCCAGGTCCTGCTCTTCCTCAGCTGGAGGAAGACAATGGGAAGCTGCAGGCTGGAACCCGGGGCACTGGTTTGCTTTACCTGAGAGACTGGCCTAACAAACATCGCAGGGCTTTTCTCACACCGTGCCCTGGAGGAGAAGCAGCCACAGGTTTGATTCCTGCTTCCTGAAGAGTCAGGCATGACGCTGAGAGTTACTTGATCAGTGGGAAATGGCAGCTTCGTTTCTGATGGGGAAAGAGGGGGGGTCTGAAAGACTTCCAGTGGGTGATAACCCCAATAGTGAGGTTCGTTACTGCGCCCGTTTCTGCTCTGGGTGCTTCGCGTGTGCTGGCTCATGTCTTCTTCACAACAGCCCCCTGAGGTGTGGTGCTCTCGTGCCCCGTCCACAGAGAGGGAGACGTGCAGAATGTACATACGCCCCCGGTAAAGCGAGCAGGGAATGAGGGGCAGAGTGGTGCTCAGTGCCCCTGCCTGCTCACAGCCACCACCTTTGGAGGAAAGAGAAAGTCTTAGTCCCCCTCCTTCCCCTGCCCTCTCTGCCACTCCTCCCCTCCCCCTCCTGCAGGGGCGGGAGCTGAGTGGGTGGGTGGGGGGACAAGTGAAAAAGGCAGGTGAAGCATTCCAAGGGACACCTGTATTAGGCTGATGGTCAGCCACGGAGAGGACAGTGAACAGATTTAATATAATGACCTGTTGGAGAGGACATTTGGTTAGGAATTTAGTATTTTCCTGAAACATGTGTAGGGCTTTATAATGAAAAGTTCCCGATCTTTTAAAATTATCTTCCAATATTTCATTTTTCTAGGAAATAACTTTGCCTTTGTCTTTACCAGTGTCTTTAATGTTGAAAGAAAAACCTTCTTTCCACTCACCCCTTGTATATATTCAGATTAATAGCTGTATTCGTTGCCTATGACTGCTGTAACAAATTACTGCACACAACGGAAATGTATTCTCTCACAATTCTGGGGCCGGGATTCCAAAATCACTCTCACTGGTCCCAAATCAGGGTATCGGGCAGGGGGCTTCGCTTCCCTGGATGCTCTCAGGAAGAATTCATTTCTTGCAGCTTCTGGGGGCTGTCAGCTGCATTCATTGGCTGCATCCCTCCGGCAACTGCCTCGTGCCCCAGTGCCTTTTCTGTTGTCTGTTTCAGATCTCCCTCGGCCTCCAGTTTCTGAGAACACTGTGATTTCATTTAGAGCCCACCTGGATGATCCAAGATCATCCTCCCATCTCCAGATCCTCAACTCAATCAACGTACAAAGACCCTTTTCTTACATAAAGTGGCATTTATAGGTCCCAGAGATTTGGGCCAGATGGATGTACTTGGGGGCTGCTCTTCAGCCTGCTACAGTAACTACCCTTTAGATTCTAGTCTCAGGGTCCTCAGAAACCCAGGAATACGTGTCAGATTAATCGTGCCTGATTGAAAATTCATGCAGACCTCACATTAGACTTTGCTCATAGGTCATTGGTTTTGCCTCATCTTGTTCCAGGAAGAACTTAGGGCAGTTTACACAGAAATATGAAACACAGCAAGATCATGTAAATTAGAAATAGAAGAAATAAAGTAAAGGAGGATAAGGACAGCAAATGAAGCAAGGAATGGGGCTCTCATAAAACAAATGCAATTCTATCTTTTTTGTTAATATTGCATAGAAAAAAAATTCTTGCTTTGTGAAAAAAATTTTTGTTTTTGTTTAAAAACAACAAAATAATCCTTCCTTCCCCTGCTGATTAGTAACAGGCAAAATATCTTATATTTTTATATGGAGATCAGATTACCCCCCACACAAATTCTTCTGCAAATTTCAGTGAATGTAATTACAAGCTTTAAACAATGGGAGCTAGGTGTTATACATTATGATTTTTAAAAGTATTAAGAACATTTTACTGCCTTCAGAGCTACCTCCTATTGTTTTATTTTCCTGCTAAATAGAAGAAGTTCTAAAGTAGTAGTCATGTATACATAAGTAGAAATTGGTCATTTGGGCCGAAACCGGTTTGGCTCAGTGGATAGAGCGTCAGCCTGCGGACTGAAAGGCCCCAGGTTCGATTCCGGTCAAAGGCATGTACCTTGGTTGTGGGCACATCCCCAGTATAGGGTGTGCAAGAGGCAGCTGATTGATGATTCTCTCTCATTGATGTTTCTAACTCTCTATCCCTCTCTCTTCCTCTCTGTAAAAAAAAAAGATTAAAAAAATTAATAAAAATATATTTTAAAAAAAAGAAATTGGTCATTTGCCATACATCCTATAGTTGCAATTAAAATTATTGTAAAATCTGATCATACAAATGATAGATATTACAGAATATGGGAATCTATTTTGAATTGCCTTCCCTAATGTACACCTTGTTTGCTTAATACTCTTGGTGAGCAGAATCAAAAAAGTTGCTTTATAAGACTGATAAGCAAGAGGGTTCATTTTTGTGGACTAGGATAAGACTTGATACTTAGTGAGCCATAGTAAATAATAAATGAGTACTTCCTCAAGTATTGATTTGTCAAATAAATATATCAACAACTACTTATCGACAACTATAGTAGCAGCAGAGGTGCAACAAGCACGGAATGTTGAGAGGCAGAGGGACAGTGTTTAAGATTCCAGAATCAGGGCAAACTGTCTGAATTCTCTTCCTGCCAATGTCACCATTAATATGACCCTGAACAAGTTACTTCATTTCTCTGGGCCTTGCTTTTCCCATATGCAAAGTGAGGGTAATAATAGCGCCTACATCATAGGATTCTAATGAGGGTTTAACAAGTGAATACAATCAATGTTCTTAACGGTGCTCAGCATGGGTTAAGTACTATATAAATGCTTGCTGTTGCTTTTAGTAGCACATGCCAAGAACTTTACATGCATTATCTTATTGAATCCTTATGTAAACATTTTGGAATAGGTACCATTACTTTTAACTCATTTATAGACAGGAAAATGGAAGGTCAGAACAATTAAGTGAGGCCTTGCCAGTGTGGCTCAGTGATTGAGCATCGACCTAGGAACTAGGAGGTCATGGTTCCATTCTTGGTTGGGGCACATCCCAGGTTGTGGGCTCAATTCCCAGTGTGAGGCATGCAGGAGGCAGCCAATCAATGTTTCCCTCTCATCATTGATATTTCCATCCTTCTCTCCCTCTCCCTTCTTCTCTCTGAAATCAATATACATATATATATATATATATATATATATATATATATATATATATATATATATAATTTCAATCATGCTACTTAGCCTAGCCAGTGTTGCTCAGTGGTTGAGTGTCGACCTATGAACCAGAAGGTCAAGGTTCCATTCCAGGTCAGGGCACATGCTCAGGTTATGTCTCAATCCCCAGTGCCTCATCATTGACGTTTCTATCTCTCCCTCCCTCTCCCTTACTCTTGGA